GTCCGTCCCTCCGTCCGTCCGTCCGTCCGTCCGTCCGTCCGTCCCTCCATCCGTCCCTCCATCCGTCCCTCCGTCCGTCCCTCCATCCGTCCCTCCATCCGTCCGTCCGTCCGTCCGTCCGTCCGTCCCTCCATCCGTCCCTCCATCCGTCCCTCCGTCCGTCCCTCCATCCGTCCGTCCGTCCGTCCCTCCGTCCGTCCGTCCGTCCGTCCGTCCGTCCGTCCCTCCATCCGTCCCTCCATCCGTCCCTCCGTCCGTCCCTCCATCCGTCCGTCCGTCCGTCCGTCCGTCCCTTGCTTCTTATCCTTCGTCCCTCCGCCCCTCCCTTCCTCTCTTTCTTGCTCTCTCCACCTGCCTCTCACGCTCCCCGCGCCATGCACGTTCATCCATCCGTGAACTATCACTCCCCCTCGTTCTCAACCCGCTTCCCTGTTTCCTCTCCCCTTTCCTCCTCTCAAACACGCCCCCACTCGCCGCCACCATGTCTTTCCCTCCACTGCCCACTCAGCTTCGAGAACTCCACCCATTTATGTCCTAGTGCTCTTCACATATACCCTTCCTATCTCCCGCGCCAGTGCTTGGAGGAGGCGCATCGGCCGGTGGACTGTGAGACAGTGGGCAAGTGGATTCTCAAGAACAGCGCCGAGTCGGAAAACATGAACTGGTACGCACGCACGCCTTTTGAGGCGCCTCAAAATATGGACGGACGGGGCTCAGAGAGAATCATTACTGGGGTCTCTGCATTTTGTGGCGTGTGCTTGCTGCAAATTTCTGCTATATGGATTTGCGAATTCCTTTCGGAGTTTTTTCCTTTCCTGCAGCATCTGAATTCTTTGCATGCTGCCCTCCAATGAGGCGACTTTTGAGTCGACTCCAAAGGCACCTCCTTGTATCCTGCATTCTAATTCCTCCCATTCCTGTCCGACCCCCAGGATTCTGGCCAACTCCAAGTCGTGTCCCAAGTGCAAGCGGCCGATTGAGAAGAACCAGGGGTGCATGCATATGACGTGCACGCCGCCCTGCAAATACGAGTTCTGTTGGTGCGCTGCCATGCCATGCCATGCCATGCCATTCGTTTGGTTTTGGGAACAGCTTGAGCGAATTTGAAATGGCACAGCACAGTCATGCACCACCAGAATCTGTTTCTTTGTGTGTGTGTGTGTTTTTTTTTTGCACGATCAAACCTGGTCTCTTTCCTTCCCTCCTATTCGCCCTTTTTTTCTTCCTCTGCGACTCCTCCGCCCTCTGTTCCACGTGCATTTTACGTTCCAGAAGCACATGTTGGCTCTCGCTTGACCAGTCACCATCACCCCACCCTTCCGCCCTCACAGGCTGTGTCTAGGAGCGTGGTCGGAGCACGGAGAGAAGACGGGCGGGTTCTACGCGTGCAACCGATACGAGTCAGCCAAGCACGAAGGAGTGGTGTGTGCACTGGCCTTTCACGCCCCCCTCTCGCCTGTCTCCTCCTCCCTTTCTCCCAGCGACTCTTTCTCAAACTTTGTCAGTCCCGCTCACCTGTCACCGTTCCCTCCTACCGTTGAACACTCTTCTCCCCACCCCCCTTTCCCCCCTCCTTTTTCCGTCCCCTTCTCCCTTTATCCACCTCCATTTCTTGTGGAATTTGCTGGGTTCCCGTGGCACCGTTATGCATGCAATAATTAGTGTCCATTGAGCTCATCGCCGAACTGTGTTCGTAATCCCGGTTTAGCTTTCTTCTTGCTGCCTTGTGCCCTAGACTGTTTCTCAATCGCCTCTGTGTCACTCCCTCTCCCCTCTGCATTGTAACGTTATCTCCCCTTCCTCTGACGTGCCTACCCCCCTTATTGCACACCCCCTTAATGCAGTACGACGAGACGGAGAGGCGGAGAGAGATGGCGAAGAACTCACTGGAGAAGTACACGCACTACTACGAGCGATGGGCCGCCAATGAGCAGGTGGGCGATGGGCCACCAATGAGCAGGTGGGCGATGGGCGGCCAATGAGCAGGTGGGCGATGGGCCGCCAATGAGCAGGTGGGCGATGGGCCGCCAATGAGCAGGTGGGCGATGGGCCGCCAATGAGCAGGTGGGCGATGGGCGGCCAATGAGCAGGTGGGCGATGGGCCGCCAATGAGCAGGTGGGCGATGGGCCGCCAATGAGCAGGTGGGCGATGGGCCGCCAATGAGCAGGTGGGCGATGGGCCGCCAATGAGCAGGTGGGCGATGGGGGGCGGATGAAGAGGTAAGCCAGAAGGGAGGGGTGGTGTGGGAGGGGCGATGGAAGGCAATGAGTGCGTGAGGTGAAGGACTCACGCGCACGATTTGAAGACGATGGGCCGCGAACGAGCAGGTGGGTGAATGGGGCCAGCGAGCAGGTGAGAAATGGGGCAATGTGAGCAGTGCCGTCTGGAGTTGATTTGCGTTGACTGCCTGTCTCTTGGTCTGCATGCACTTCGTTCTTTCCCCTCTGCAAATCCCTTCTATCCTTCCTGTTCTCTCTTCCCACTCCTCTTCCCACTCCTCTTCCCCCCACCTGCAGTCCAGAGTGAAGGCGCTAGAGTCGCTGCGTGAGATGCAGACTGTCAAGGTATGCTCAAATTCGTCCCGTTCTGCGGGCTGGTTTGTCTTTTCAAATGCGCGAGCATGCTCTGGGCTGGTTTGTCTTCTCGTCCACTTGAGTGGCTTGTGGTCGGTCATCTGTTCGTCCTCTCGTTCACATTCCTATCCCTTCTCTGTGGAACTGTTGCTTGGGTCTGTCTTGGTTTGGGGGCTGCTGGGTTTGTCTTGGGATGTGGCTGGCGTGCTGGGCGTGCCTCGGCTGTGCTGGGCGTGCCTCGGCTGTGACCGCTTCTCCCCAATGGCAGATCGAGCAGCTGAGTGAGCGCCACAGCCAGCCGGTCTCACAGCTCAAGTTCGTCATCGATGCGTGGCTTCAGGTGATTTCTCATAGTTTCAGATGAATCCTCATGGCTTCAGGTGAATGGCCATGGCTTCAGGTTGATCACCATGGCTGCGGGTAAATTGCACCCTTTTTCCTCCGCTTTCCTAGGGGCACGCAAACCCTGTGTGCTCTTTCCTTCCCCCATGTTGGCCTCTCCTTCTCAATTCCACATTGTGGAGTGCCAGTGGAGGGTAATCGAGTGTACTCAAGTGCACCTAGGCCGACGGCTACTGCTTGCCCTATACACCCCTCGTCCCTGACTCCTCGTCGCTCGTGCTCTTTAGGTGATGGAGTGCTGTCTTATATTGAAGCGGACCTACACCTACGGCTTTTATTTGTCCTTTGCGGAAGTGGTCGGTCCGTAACCCTCTGCTCTTCCTTAGTGGAGTGCTGCTGTGTACTGAAATGGACGTGCGCCTACGGCTAGTATCTCCCCTAGGCGGACGTGGTCACACTAACCCTGCATCTACGGTCCCCATGCCTTCTACGCCAGGTGGTGGAGTGCCGCCATGTGCTCAAGTGGACGCACACGTACGGCTCTATCTCCCCAAGGCGGAGGTGGCGCGGCGGCAGTTCTTTGAGTACCTGCAGGGCGAGCCAGCAGAGGAGGTGGAGGAGGTGGTCACTCAAACCCTATATGCACCCTCTCCCCCCCCTTCTTCCCCCCAGGTGGTGGAGTGCCGCCGTGTATTGAAGTGGACGTACGCCTATGGGTATTACCTCCCAGAGGCGGAGGTGGCGCGGCGGCAGTTCTTTGAGTACCTGCAGGGCGAGGCGGACGCAGCGCTGGAGAATCTGCACAAGATGGCGGAGAAGGAGCTCGAGCTCTACATCTGCGACGACGGGGACCCGCCGCCCACGCCCTTCAATGACTTCCGGTCGAGACTGGCTGGGCTCACCAGGTGAGATGGATACATGGATGGAGTAGGTGACCAAGGGTGGGTAAGTGGGTGCAGCGTGTGAGAGTCAGGATTTGCACAAGACAGCTGAGAGGGACCTTCAGCTGTACATCTGCAACGACGCGGATCCGCCGCCTACACTTTTTAATGACTTGTGCTCGCGGCTGGCTGGACTGACCAGGTGTGGTGTGTGGATTGACGATGGGGATATTGGGTTGGGCAACTGTTCCACTTGCCTTCTCTAGTCACAGCTGTGCTCCACACTTGGGGCATGTAGAAATATGACTCTAGCTTGGCCTTGCATGCAGTGGCATTGAATCCCCTCCCTTCCTCCACTGCCTGGTGACCCCTTGCTCGTGTCTCCAGTGTGACGCACACCTACTTTGAGAACCTGGTTCGGGCCCTCGAGAACGGCCTAGCAGACGTGGAGAACGCCTCTACTGCCGCCTCCTCCACCCGCGCCGCTGCTGCCGCTGCCGCAGCTGCGGCCGGCCGGGCCATCGCCAGCACGTCGCGCATCCAGCAGTCACGCTTCGGCGGCCGCAGCCGGTCGCGCACCACCGCTGCTGCTGCCACCGCCTCCACCTCCGCCGCTGGCTCCTCTGCTGCTGGCCCTAGCAGCTCTGCTGGGGCAGCGGCAGCAGCTGGGGCAGGGTCGAGTCGGGGAGGTATTTTCCGGTCGTCGTCATCGCAAGCAGCTGCTGCTGCAGCGGCGGCGGCAGCGGCGGTGACTGTGGGGAATGCTGGGGGGAGGGAGCGGGAAGAGACGGCGTATTGGTCGTGTGAGCACTGCACTTTCGCGAATCCATTGCCGGGCCGAGCGTGCGCTATGTGCCACCTGCCCCGTGGCGGCACACGTTGAGGTGGATAGGGTGTCGGGTCGGGTGGGTGTGCCTACCGTGCATTGCATTTCAAGCACTTGTACGCTGTAATAGAGCTAACCAGCTGATGTAGCCTGCGTTGTATTTTGTAATCATCCTCCTCCACATGCAAGTGTTTCATGAGTAGTGATGTGATATTCCTTGTGTTGGTAGTGCTATAAGTGGGGGAATATGGCAGAGTTCGACCTCGCAACAACTACGTAGCCATACGCCTTGTACCAAACCACTTCATTGTACGGTTTATGCGTCCGGGTGTACCGAAGAGTTCCTTCAACGTGTCAGTCTCGAATTCGTTGGAATGCAGGAGCGAACGAGGGCCAGATGCTGCGTTGCGTCGTCGACTGGCCAGGAATGCGCGGCTCCGCTCGCCCAAACCATCAGTCGGGTTTTCTGTCAGCCTAGGCATCAAATCGGTGGTACGGTTCAAGTTCAGATCATTTGTTGCTCCGTCGGTCCGACTGCTTCTTCCGTCAATGGAAGGAGCGAAGAAAACAGTCCACCTGCAATGACGGCCGTCACATCCACCCAGACCGTCACCCCTACAGTGGTCTAGAGCCAGATGGTTTCCCCAGAGCCCATTGTGCCATTGCTGTTCCGTCAACTCTCTGTGGCGCTCCGTCTGTTGTTACCACCACCAATCCGTCAACCATCCCCACCTTGATTCCGAGCCTCGCTGGTCCGAGGCTGCAGTGCCATGTCCAGGTGGGGGGAGGGAGGCACACATTCTCCATGCTCCATACTCGCATACTCCGCTCTTGCGGCCACTGCCGTCTCTTGTGTACAGCTTAGTTGAGACAGTCTTCAAACAAGTTTAGTCCGATTTGCTTGCGTCCCCACGGCTCCGGTTTCCGCCTCTCCCTCGGCACTCACCCGTTGTTAGCCGCTTCGTCACGGTGGTTAGAATATTCACAAGCGTTCTCGAGACGAAAGACGCTGACGGTCGGATTTCCGTTTCGCCTGATGGCCTCCTCGACCAGCCTCTGCTGCCGAAGCGCTCTATTTCCTGGGTCCGTAGTAGGTCGGACTGATTCCGTTCCGTTGACGGAATCCGTTACATCACGGCCATTTCCGAGCCTTTCGTGCGAGGGTCTGCGAAGTTCGCTGCACGGCACATTCCCATCCGTCAAGGCTGCTCCGATCGAGAGACAGAAAACTACCAAGGCACGCGCAGCGAACGCACGAGCAGCGGCGGCCATAGCCGCGGGAGGAGGCGAGACGGGCTCGAGTGTGGAGTTGGAGCAGATCAGCAGTGAGGGGAAGCAACCCGTGCGGCCAGTTGTCATTCTTCCGGTATGCGCCGCCCTCCTCCGCTGTCGCATGTCCCTCCCCAACTTCACCCCCCCCACCCCGATTTTAGCCGCTGCGTGGCGCTCGGCTCAGTAGTAGTTGGTTCACCCCCCCCCCCACCCGCGGGCCAAGCAGTTCAACGGTAGGAAGGTTGGTTGGATAGGAGGACGGGATTGGTTGTCGAGTAGTTCTCCTAGGGAACTCTCAACCAAAGGTAGGAGTCTCGAGGCAATTTTGGGACATTTGGAACCCAGACTGCCTAATGTTGCATCCGCCGTGCTCCCTGGTCCTCTCTCCACGCTCCCCGCTCCCAGCTCCACGCGCCACGCCTTAATACGAACGCGCAGCACATCCGCCTTGTCCTACCTGAATCCGTCACACCGAAATCCGTCTCACCGAATCCCCTCACACCGAATTCCGTCACCCTTTCACCGCTATAAGCGTGTACCCCGTTTATGGAACAATTTGCGTGCCTGGCGAGCAGGGATTGGGCAACAACTCGGCGGATTACGCCGAGCTCGTGGCGCTGCTGGAGACGCAGGGCGTGGCGGTGGAGGTGGCCCGCGTGGCGCGACCTGATTGGCTGCGGAACGCCGCGGGGCTCCTGCAAGCGGACTACTGGAAGGGAACTCTCAAGCCTCGCCCGATCCTGGACTGGTGGGTTGGCGGCCTGGTCCGGCCCGAGCCTGACTCCGTTGTGGTTAAAGCACACGACATGGTAGTCGGTTGCCACGTGGCAACAACTGGGTTGCTGTCGTTGTAGCACTGGAGTGGTTTCCATAGAGACAGGGGTCGCATGGTGCAAGGAGGATTGGCATGAGGATGGGTGTAGAATGGAGAGAGACTCACCACATGGGCAGGGCTGGGCACGTGGGCAGTGAGACGGATAGACGAGCAGGTAGATGGGGCCGCAAACAGGTACCTGGGGCTGGGGGAGCGATGTACAATGGGCTCCGTCTGGTTAATCAAGCTGGCAAACACGTGAAACAGATTGCAACGGCTGGTGTGGCGAGGTGGAATTGCCGAAACCAGAGGTGGAACACCTGTTGGGACGCCTGTTGGGACGCCTGTTGGGACGCCTGTTGGGACGCCTGTTGGGACGCCTGTTGGGACGCCTGTTGGGACGCCTGTTGGGACGCCTGTTGGGTCGCCTGTTGGGTCGTCTGTTGGGTCGCCTGTTGGGTCGCCTGTTGGGACGCCTGTTGGGTCGCCTGTTGGGTCGTCTGTTGGGACGCCTGTTGGGACGCCTGTTGGGCCGCCTGTTGGGTCGCCTGTTGGGTCGCCTGTTGGGTCGCCTGTTGGGACGCCTGTTGGGACGCCTGTTGGGACGCCTGTTGGGACGCCTGTTGGGACGCCTGTTGGGACGCCTGTTGGGACGCCTGTTGGGTCGCCTGTTGGGACGCCTGTTGGGACGCCTGTTGGGACGCCTGTTGGGTCGCCTGTTGGGTCGTCTGTTGGGTCGCCTGTTGGGTCGCCTGTTGGGACGCCTGTTGGGTCGCCTGTTGGGTCGTCTGTTGGGACGCCTGTTGGGACGCCTGTTGGGCCGCCTGTTGGGTCGCCTGTTGGGTCGCCTGTTGGGTCGCCTGTTAGGACGCCTGTTGGGACGCCTGTTGGGACGCCTGTTGGGACGCCTGTTGGGACGCCTGTTGGGACGCCTGTTGGGACGCCTGTTGGGTCGCCTGTTGGGACGCCTGTTGGGACGCCTGTTGGGACGCCTGTTGGGACGCCTGTTGGGACGCCTGTTGGGTCGCCTGTTGGGTCGTCTGTTGGGACGCCTGTTGGGACGCCTGTTGGGCCGCCTGTTGGGTCGCCTGTTGGGTCGCCTGTTGGGTCGCCTGTTGGGACGCCTGTTGGGTCGGCTGTTGGGTCGCCTGTTGGGTCGCCTGTTGGGTCGCCTGTTGGTTCGGCTGTTGGGTCGCCTGTTGCGTCGCCTGTTGGGTCGCCTGTTGGGTCGTCTGTTGGGTCGCCTGTTGGGTCGCCTGTTGGGGCGGCTGCCGGCGTTGTATTCATACACTGTGTATGTCTCTGTGCCCTCGATGCCGCCGTTCTGTCCCTGCAAATCTTTATCGGAGCCTGTCTGTGTCTCTGTGCCTCTGTGTCCCTCTGCGCATCGATGCCAGGTACTTGGAACGGGTGGCAGCAGCTGTGGCGGCAGCCAAGAAGAGAGTCCCAGGTGACACTCATGATGCAAGCACTCCCAACAAGCACTCCCAACAAGCACTCCCAACAAGCACTCCCAACAAGCACTCCCAACAAGCACTCCCAACAAGCACTCCCAGCAAGCACTCTCAACAAGCACTCCCAACAAGCACTCTCAACAAGCACTCCCAACAAGCACTCTCAACAAGCACTCCCAACAAGCACTCTCAACAAGCACTCCCAACAAGCACTCTCAACAAGCACTCCCAACAAGCACTCTCAACAAGCACTCCCAACAACCACTCCCAACAACCACTCCCAACCAGCACTCCCAACACCCAAACCTTTGTTTTTACTCTTTTGTACGAAGCGCCTCCCATTCCCTCAATCCATTGTACAATACCCCCTCTGCCCCATTTCCCCCTCTCCCCTCTGCAGGCTGCTCCCAGGTGTCGCTGGTAGCGCACTCTGCAGGGGGTTGGCTGGCCCGCCTCTATCTCGCTGAGTATGGCCATGCTGACGTGGCACTGCTGCTCTCACTCGGCTCACCGCACCTGTGAGTATGTGGCATGCGATTGTGGCGAGGGTGAGTTGCAGCATGTGAAAGATGAAGCGGGTAGCTATTACGTTTGCAAGTAAGATTGTGTGCGGCCAAGGACGGTCAAAGCGTGGGGGAGGAAGAAACATGTGAGCATGCAAACACGGGCTGCAGCAAGTTCGGCTGCCGTAAATGTCAAGAATTGTTGTTGGAGCAAGGTAAAGGGCGGGAGCAAGGTAAAGGGCGGGAGCAAGATAGAGGGCAGGAGCAAAGAGTGCTGCACGAGTTCGGACTCGGACGCATGCCTGTGCCTGTGTTCCACTCCTGTCTATAACACCTTGCCTCTCCCCCACCTTCCCTTTCTCGAACTGCTTTTGTCTTGTCTGCTCCCATGTTTTGCTTCTCCCGCTTTTGGTCTCCCTTCCCCCGCCCGTCTATCTCAGTCCCCCGCCCCCAGGGGCGCAGGGGGTCGTGGATCAGACCAGGGGGCTCCTAACGCACATGCAGGCCGTCTCGCCAGGTGCCTTCCACGCACCCCACGTCAAATACGTCTGCGTCTCGGGCAGGTGAGGCCCTCTGCCTTTGGCGGGCTCCCTTCTCTTCACTTCTTTTTCGTATATCCGGCTAGAGTGTGTTGCAGACCTGCGAATCAGCCTGTCCCTTTGGATTCATATCCATCACTCGTAAGTCTGCCACTCTTTCCACCTTCCCACCGCTCACCCGTTCTCCCCATACCTCGTCATGGTGGATCCTAATCCAGGTACATCAAGGGTCTTCCCCTCTTTGGTGGCCCTTCTGCAGCCCCTGCAGCAGCAGCCCCTGCTTCCCTCGCCTCAGTCGCCTCAGCAGCAGCGGGGGGAGAGGCACGTGTGTTTGCTCTGGATGTGGAGCCAGTGGGGGTTGCAGCGAATGTGATTATATCCGATTTGGAATCAGGCACCGAGAGTGAGGACGGCAGCAGCAGTGCGTCAGATAGTGCTGCTGGGCAGAAGGTGTCATCTGGTGGAGGTGTGTTCCAGGCACGGATGGTGGGGCAGGGCTACAAGCAGGTCTGTGGGCAAGCTGAAGTGTGGGGGGATGGAGTCGTGCCGGAGGATGCTGCCCTGCTTGAGGGAGCAGAGAATCTAATATTGGATGGCGTGTATCACTCGCCTGTCGGGGCAAGTGAGGCCAGGCCTTGGTATGGCTCGCCATCCATTCTTCCCAAGTGGCAGCACCACTTATTAGTTTGAGCTGGAATACACTTCATGGAACTGAAAAGCCAATTTGACTTGGAACATCATTGACAATGAAATGTTTGAAGATCTTGTGAGTGATATTAATGGTAAAAGAAATAACTTCGTGCAACAGACAAATTTTTGCAGTTGGAGTGTCCTCTTTCTGTGAGAGTTGAAAATTTGTGTAGTTGTGCACGGATGAAAAGGTCGTGAATAAGGATGTTGTAAAAAAAAACATCTCTGTAACCATTCGCGTAACCTGGTTGAACTCCAAATCTTTCCCGCTTTCACCTTCTGCCACACCCTCGACCTGGCCGCGTTTCGTCACAGACTAAGCCGCCCAAGAATAAGATAACAACCAATCCCGAAGACCCTCATAGCTGACCCATTAGCCAATCTCAACGTGCTTGCTGTCCGCTTAGCCCACGCCGACAGAGTCTTGCAACGGGGGTGAACAGCGCAGGTCGGGCCAGTACACAGGAAGTCCCTTTCAAGCCCTGTTGTTTTTCGGGCGGGTACTCCAGAATCGAGCGCAAAACTTTCACGGGCGAAATGGGCCAATATAGGGTAGTCTGGTAATTGGCATTTTTTCAGTCTAAAGCGGGTGACCATTGTTGTTTCTTTTGCGTTCCTTGGGCAACAGTGTGAGGCCTCAGAACGTCCCGTCTGCACGTTTGAAGGTCTCAGTATCAGATGTGGTAACTGTTGGAGATTAGTGGGCCTCTGTGGATTGGGCCGTTGCCCGTGTGTTCGAACCGATGGGCCTGTAGTGGTACACGTGGCGTCTAATGAATATGCGGTTCACTGGACTAAAGGTGTAGTTTTTTCAGCAGCCCATGACATCTGTCATTGCCATGTCGTCGGTGCGTTATCTCGAGACAGATTGGCGTCAACGATGACGTGGAACAGCAAAGCTAAGGTGTGACTGTCCTACCCACGTGCTTGGGATGCCTGGAACTTCCAACGGGAGCATTTCGAGCCAAGGTTCAAACGAGGTGGGCCCGACTTTCCCGCCGTGTCTAGTTTCTCCATTATCGATTGTGACGTCATCAACTGTAGATCACAGCGAGCTATCGTGGTTGCTCCGGATGCCGTTGGATCTGCCAGATCGGCATTTCGTGGCAACCGAAACAGCCAGCAAAGCGTAACCCTAACGGCCACCGCTCATTTTTCAAATGACGCGGCAAACCCTCCTCCTCTCACGCCGTCAGCTGGAGCGGCTCGTCAGTAAACAGGCCGTTCTCCTTCATCCTGTCAGAACCAACACTGCTCGTAGCCACGAGTACAAAACCCCGTCTGACAGTCATTTCATTTCAGTTGAATCACAGTTTCCTTTACTCACAGCTCGCTGCTCCCCCTTTCCGCAAGCCTCGAGGTTGCCTTGGCATCTGAATCCTGATGGCCGTGAAAACCCTCGCTGCCTGCAGCAAGGCTGACCCCGACGACCTCTTCTACTGGGAAGAGGACCACGGATCCTTTCCAGCAGGACTGAAAAGCCTCTATCTTCCTGCTGCCTCCGCTTCCGCCTCTCCCACCTGGAGCCATGCAGCAGGCAAGCGATCCACCCCTGCTGCTGCTGCTGCTCCTCTTGCGAAAAAGGCAAGAATCTCGGACGATGATGAAGACGAGTTCTCGTATATGAGCGAGTGGGACCTGCTGGAATTCCGTCAGCGGTATACTAACCCCGAAAGCAACTGGAGCAGTCAAGGAAACGTGTCCATCCTGACTAAGGACGAGTTTCTCAGCTCCACAGGCAAGAAATCGCCGTGGATTTTGGTTAACAATCCCGATGCCAGTAAGAAGGGCCTTAACACGAGCAACAGGAGCGTGATGATCTGCAGCTTCAGCTCCAGCGGTGCAAGCAGTACCACCAACAGATCTGCTGTGCAGATCCCTGCAGTAAACGCTGCCAGCACCATTGAGTCAGGAAGAAAAAAAGAAAGCAAATATCAGGCCTCACAAAAAAAGCCTCACGATACTGCAGCAGTCAGTTCTCAAGAATCAGCAAGAAACGGCACGAGCAGGCAGCAAGGTGCTCAAGGCCATGCTGCTGCCTGCCGTGTTGGGAGGATCCATGAGGATGAGCACCACGCCAAACAGCTCAGCCGCCGTTCTCCTGGTGGGCCCTCCCCTCTGAGGAAAGCGTCTGCTGCTGTTGTTCCTGTTGACACTGCTACTGCTGCAAGTGGTTCAGTTGCTCCCGAGAAAATAAGTGTGAAGGTTGGAGGGAAGAGACGGATGAGAAGGTGGGTGAGTAGGGTTTGGTCGAGCATAGCTCTGAATAAGTGGCATAATGGCAAGTAAGGTAAAGCTGGTGGGGGTGCTGTGGAATGATGGTGGTAAGGGTTCAGCCCCTTTTTTCCATCCTGCCTGGCAGGATGTTGTGGGAAAGACGGAATGAGTGGTGGATGGGAGAGTAAGGAATGGGATGCGTGCCACTTAAGTCTTGGTATTCATGTCCATTTATGTGCATGTTATATAATCATTAACTTCCATGTTTTGGTAAGGATGTTCGTGTGGGTGAGTGGAGGGCATGAAACGGGGAAATGGGTGAGTGAAGAGGAGCGATTCAAGAGGTAGACTGACTATGCCTCACGTTTAGCTGCTTAATCAGAATGAACAATACCATCAGGCATAACAGCATGATGAGAGAATGAACAGAAAGATGAGCTCAATGATCCAAACTGAAGGTCAAATTGGACAGATATGCTTAGATTAATACCAGAATGTTAAGAGTGAACACAATCATCAGAGTGAACAGCATGAGAAGATGGAACAGGAAAGAAAATCATTGGTCAACATGGGACTACGGTTGTCAGAATGGGGTCAGTATGAAACCAGAATGATTGAAATGAAGAGCAATGTTTCAAATCTCCCTTAAGCTATAAGAATGAGCAGCAATGATCATAATTGGAACCAGAATGACCACAAGTATCAGAATGAACAGGGTAATATGGACAAACAGAAAATGAAGACTAATGATCATAATTGAACTTAATTGTTCAGAGTGAGCAGGAATGATGTGAAATAAAGCAGAATGATCAAACTGACACCATATTTATGAAAATGAGCAGTGAACACAATGAACACATTGAACAGCAATGCACAGACAGGTACAAGATTGGTAAGAACCAAACGCAAACCAGAATAGTACAAGAACAACAAGAATGAACAGCAATGAGCAGAATGCCCAGCAAAGGTTCAGCTTCTCAGCATGAACAGGAATGATCAGAGAGCAGCAGTGTGCAGTAATGATGGAAATATGACTCAAAGCATAAAAATTTGCAACAATGATTCAAAAGCACACAATCGAAAACAGATTTGACAGCATCTGCATATAGGGGCAATATGGGCCCACATGTCGCTCCTGTTTGTGGATGCATATCCTTTCCTCGCACTAGCCACCATTGTCACTGCAACCATTCGCAGTTTGAGCATCATCAATTCCCATTTTGACTCATCAGGCACTCCTACTTACCCTCACTTACTTTTTAAATTTAGGCATCAGCCATTCGAAGCCTCTGCATCGCACTTACTCTCACTTACTTTCTTCCTTTCATCTTCGTTCCCTCCAACCTGTTTCCGTCATCCAGCTACATCAATCCCCTCCTGTTTGTCAGCCTAACCACCCTTCCATCTGTCAAAAGCATCACAGCACCCCAAACCACTGTGCCAGCACCCCCTGAATCCTCGCCAGTAGCTGTCCCTCCCCTGGCTGCAGTGAACAGGGGGAGGCCACGTGCATGTGCACTGAATGTGAAAGTGTGGTTGCAGAGCAACGAGTGTGGCTATGAGTTTCGGAATCTGAAAGTGAGTGATTACGACGAGGGGCAGTCCGAGAACCAGACCCGTGCATGAGTGCATGCACTGCTGCAGACACTGCGTATCTGCACACATGAATGGAAGTCAACACCAGGAGTGTAGCAGGCGCATATCTACATATGGTCCTTCAACCCATCAAATAATGTTTGACAGACCTAGCCTCATGTGTACAGTGATGTTCCTCCCGGAAGTTCCACTTGGAACATAAATTATTTACAGCAGTGCATTATCGAGCAGTGAGGAACACAAGCAGAAATGCAACGAGCACCGTGGGCTGTACATGGTTACAGTCTACTAACCAAGCACTTGCCACAATTCACCACTGGTCAGCTTACAATCGCCTCCGTGGGCAGCCCTGCTAGCAGCTCTGGCAAGTCATTGCCATTGCTGGAGTCTCTTGGGCTCTCGGAATTCACAACCTTGGAAACAAAACAGACGAGGAAGAGGGAGAGAAAGGGAGGCAGGATGGATTGCGAGGCAGGGGGTTTGATTGGGCCGTGCAGAGCTGCTGAAGTCTGTAGATTTTAGAGTTCAACGTCGTGGGAAGAGAAGGGGAGAGATGGGGGGAGATGGAGGGAGATGGAGGGACGGAGTGCTGGGGGATGGGGAGGGAATGCAAGTGAACCGTGCACAGTAACAGCATTGTCAATGCTACGTTTGGGACTTGCTCACGATCCTGGTCTGTGTAGAAGTGCAGTTTGGATACTCGGTGAGCACAAGAGCATTGCATGAACCCTTCAGTGAACTCAAGACAGTACACTCACCGCAACCACCCACTCACCTCAACCACCCACTCACCTCCACCACCCACTCACCTCAACCACCCACTCACCTCCACCACCCACTCACCTCCACCACCCACTCACCTCAACCACCCACTCACCTCCACCACCCACTCACCTCCACCACCCACTCACCTCAACCACCCACTCACCTCCACCACCCACTCACCTCCACCACCCACTCACCTCAACCACCCACTCACCTCCACCACCCACTCACCTCCACCACCCACTCGCCTCAACCACCCACTCACCTCCACCACCCGCCTCTGGCCCGGAGGAGGCGGCACTGCAAGCGCTGCCTGCACCACCGCTGCCAGATCCTCTCTAGATATGCTGCCCTTGATGGCGTCACCCTGGCATGATGCAGGGAGGCAGAGAGTGGCAGGGAATGGTGAGTGAGATGACGGGGAGGACGAGGAGGACGAGGAGGATGAGGAGGATGAGGAGGACGAGGAGGCGGCACTGCAAGCGCTGCCTGCACCACCGCTGCCAGATCCTCTCTAGATATGTTGCCCTTGATGGCGTCACTCTGGCATGATGCAGGGAGGCAGAGAGTGGCAGGGAATGGTGAGTGAGATGACGGGGAGGACGAGGAGGACGAGGAGGATGAGGAGGATGAGGAGGACGAGGAGGCGGCACTGCAAGCGCTGCCTGCACCACCACTGCCAGATCCTCTCTAGATATGCTGCCCTTGATGGCATCATCCTGGCGTGATGCAGGGAGGCAGAGAGTGGCAGGGAACAAGATGATGGGGGATGGAGGAGGAGGCGGCACGGCACGCGCTGCCTGCACCAGCGCTGCCAAATCCTCTCGATATATGCCACCCCTTGATGGAGTCACGCTGGTGTGGTGCAGGGAGAGAAGGGGAGGCGGAGAGGGAGGGGATGCTGAGGAGAGGAAGGAGTGCAGCAATGAAGGATAGCACGGACGGGGGCTGCACTGCACGAGCTGCCTGCACCACCGCTGCCAGGTCCTCCTGCGATATGCGGCACTGCATGATGCCGCCCTGGAGGGATCAGCGTGGGAGCACTGACGAGAAGCAGTGCCAGCGCTGCCTGTATCTCGGCTCGCAGGTCCTCCCGCAACATGCTGCCCTCCATGGTGCCGCCCTGGCGGGGTGAGGGGAGGCAGAGAGCGGCAGGGAATGGTGAGTGAGATGACGGGGGAGGGACGAGGAGGACGAGGACGTGGCGCTGAAAGCAGTGCCTGCAGCAGCAGCAGCAGCAGCACCACCACCACCGCTGCCAAGCCCTCCGGGAGATGCTGCCCTTCTTGGCGTTGTCCTTCCTGTGCTGGAGGGGTGAGCGGAGGCAGAGAGCCGTCAAGTTTTGAGGCGCCTAAAATTGGTGGGAAGAGGGGAGACACAGGACAGGGGATGCGGGAGAGTGGACGGGAGATGAGACGCAGTGGGAAGGTGGGGGGGAGACTATGGGGGGAACATGCTGACCCATTCTGTCTGCTCTCACTCACCCGCCCCAGTCTTCACCTGCCCCGGTTCTCACCTACCCCAGTCCTCACCTACCCCAGTCCTCACCTGCCCCAGCAGCAGCCCCTTCTGGTTGCCAGGCTCATCCACCTCCTTCCCTGCTCGCACCACCATGTACCCAAACCCCCCCTTCCTCCCTTCTTCTGTACTGCTTGTGCTGCCCTGTCCATATCTCCACCATTCCTCACTTGCCCCAGTCCTCACCTGCCCTGTCCATATCCCCACCCGTTCTCACCTGCCCCAGCTGAACCTCCTTTTGCCTGCCAGGCTCATCCACCACCTTCCCTCCGCGCACCACCGTGTACCGAAACTCCCGTCGTTTCCCCTCCGCCCCTGTAGCAGCAGCTGCAGCAGCCGCAGCCGCCAGCGACTCTTCTGCCTCTCTGGCCGCTGCTAGCGGGGAGGCGGACCAGAGCAGGGCGGAGAGACCCGAGGGGCGCGAGGAGGCTCCCAGCTGGTGAGGGGGGAGGGAAAGGAGGGAGGGGGGAGACGGGGGAGAGGGAGAGAGCGAGGGGAGGGAGGTAGGGAGAACGAAGATACTCTAAAGTCATCGTCAAAGATGCTTCTGGAGAGGAGGCCCGCCAGAGAGGGGAGACAGCGCGGGACGGACGAGAGCTGAAGGCGCCTCAACCAGCAGCGCTTGAAGGGAGGCAGCCAACTGAGAGGGTAACGGGGCTGGAGGAGGGAAAAGAGGCTTCCGGGTGGTGGAAAGGGATGGAGGGAGGGAGAGCGAGGGGAAGGGAGGATGCGGGAGTCATCCGTGTGCGCACATCAATGAGCTGCTGCTTGAGCGGAGGCGGACTGTATCGCTTACCTGCAACGACAGCACAACATGGGCCTCTCAACAACCAGTGAAACGAGACCCATGTCTGCTAAGCACCACTGTATCCCTCACCTACGATATCAGCACCACGTGCTCCACTCTGCTGCCGTGCAGGAGCTTTACAGGCGCATCTAACGTGATTCGCGTTGCTCACCTGCGATATCAGCACCACGTGCTCCACTCTGCTGCCGTGCAAGAGCTTTACAGGCGCATGTAACGTGATTCGCATTGCTCACCTGCGATATCAGCACCACGTGCTCCACTCTGCTGCCCTGCAAGAGCTGCGACAGCGAGCCAAGCTGGTGGGGAAGGGGAGAGAGAGAGGGGCGAGGTCGATGAACCGACTAGGGGAAGGAAGAGAAACCTGAACACGATCTAGGGGGATGCTGCCTGTTCGTGGAGCGCAAGGATAGAATAGCGGGCGACATGGCGAGGGGAAGGGGACTTTTGAGTCGACTCAAAAGTCACATCGTTACAAGGATACAACAGCGGGAGACATGACGAGGTGAAGGGAAAGGGGAAGAGAAAGGGGAAGAGACAGGGGAAGAGACAGGGGAAGAGACAGGGGAAGAGACAGGGGAAGAGACAGGGGAAGAGACAGGGGAAGGGAAGGGAACACCATTTGGTATTGGCTAGTGGAAAAGAAAGAATACAAGACAGAGACATTCACCAAACGTCAGCGTTTAACAGAGAAGAGGGTGTGTGGGGGGAACGAGCATGCGCTGAGGCCGATGGCGAGGGAAGGAGAATGGCTGTGGGAAAAGAAAGGAAGTGGGTATGGGGATCCAGGAAAAAGGGAAGGTCGACCAACTGCACGTGAGAATATTCAAGCATGACGGGGACAGAAAGAGGAAGGCAGAACAGCAAAGGAGTGCAGATCGGTTGGTGGTGGTGACTCACCCGGCCCGTGACAACAACAGCTTGAGAGCCCTTGAGAGCTGCTCTCACTGCTGATTGGTCCGTGACCGATCCTGACACAGGCTGACGGGACGGGTCAATGGGTTGATTTGATGGGGCAGATGACGAGCGGAATGTGCACCGGAGAAGATTCCAGGGAAGGGGGGGGGGGGGGTATATTTTTGAGGCGCCTCAGAAATAGTCTCCTCCCGATTGATGGGGCAGACGATGAGCGGAATGTGCCCTGGAGAAGATTACAGAGGGGGAGGGGGGGGGGGGGGGGGTGTTTCTTAGAATCCTCAAAAACAGATGATGAGCGGAATGTGCATTGAAGAAGATTACAGAAGGCGGGGGGGGGGGGTGAAGGTGATTGAGTTGAGACGCCATCAGCTCTCAAACCAAGCCCCCCTCACCAGGTCGGGCCTGCCAGCAGCACCCATCAGCACCGGTTACCACCCACTCCACTGTCCTGCACTAAGGACCCGGACCCCGACCCCTTGGCGCCCCCCACTAGCACCTGCATGCACCCCGCTCTCACCGGCCCTCCCCACACCCGGCTTCACCGCCACCCCACACCCACCTGCACCGCCACCCCACACCCAGCTTCACTGTTACCCCACACCCAGCTTCACTGTTACCCCACACCCAGCTTCACTGTTACCCCACACCCAGCTTCACTGTTACCCCACACCCAGCTTCACTGTTACCCCACACCCAGCTTCACTGTTACCCCACACCCAGCTTCACTGTTACCCCACACCCAGCTTCACTGTTACCCCACACCCAGCTTCACTGTTACCCCACACCCAGCTTCACTGTTACCCCACACCCAGCTTCACTGTTACCCCACACCCAGCTTCACTGTTACCCCACACCCAGCTTCACTGTTACCCCACACCCAGCTTCACTGTTACCCCACACCCAGCTTCACTGTTACCCGCCCACACCCATCTGCACCGCCCCCCCATCAGTCACCTGCACATAAGGCCCGAATCCTGTGGTTGCCTCCTTGGCGTCCCTCACGAGCACCGTCACTCTCCTGCGCGCCACGATGAGCTCCAGCACCACCATCTGATGGCGGGCAGGGGGGGGGAGAGTGGTGGGGGAAGGGTGAGTGAGGGTGGCAGAGAAAAGGCTGCGATACCTGCACTGCACGCGTCCCTCACGAGCACCGTCACTCTCCTGCGCGCCAGGATGAGCTGCAGCACCACCATCTGCAGGGCGGGGGGAGACAGGGAGAGCAGAGACAGAGGGGGGGTTGATAGTTGATCATTCCCCAGAATGGGGAAGAGAAGAAAATGGGGTGGGCGGGGAGGGAAGTTAGGGAGAGGCGAAATGGAAGTATGTAGCGAACCAGGGAGCTCGTTCTACATGCCTTGAGAACGTAGCACAGACCAAGGGAATCTCCCAGGATACAGTTTGTAAATATTCAAATCAATGTCAGTCATTTCTTGATACATCCGAGCACCCCTAGCATCTCGTGAACAGCACTTCACAAGCAGGATGACTGAGCACCGTACCGTGTGAACATCATTACCTAGATCTCTCACCGGAAGAGCTACAATCACCTCAACTTCACCTGAAGAGCAACAGTCACCTGATAAACAGCTGACGAGCAATAGTCACCTGTGAATCGCCTGACAACGAGCAACAGTCACCTGATGATCACCTGGCCTGTGTCCGAGTCAGCGTCTGTCACCAGCACGGCATCCCCTCCCTCCTCCCCCTCTTCACCCTCCTCGGCCTCGGCCTTGGCCTCCTCTCCCTCGTCTGCGTGTGGAGGGATGGCAGTGGGGAGATGCGTACGGTGCTTTGAACTGGCTTTCCTCCAACACAGCTCAAGCCAGCATGGCTCACATCAACACGACCTACATCAACACTCTCTGCCCCGCCACTCTCTGCCCCACCCCACTCTACCCCACCCCACTCCACCCCCTCCCACCGCTCACCATCGCCGTCCTTGGGCAGAGTGTCCGCTGCGCCGTACCACCGTCTTAACTTAGGGCCGCCTGGGAGGCAACAGGGGAGGCCGCAGGGGAGGCCACAGCGGGGAGATTGGAGACGCGGGGAAGGAAAAAGAAGAAAGGCGATTCTTCAGAACTCCCAATAATCACCTGTTTTGACAGCAGACGCAATGTCTATGCAGAGTATCCGCCGCTCCAAACCAGCGCCTTAAATAGGGCCCACCTGAGCAGTCACGGGTTCGTGTGGGGAGGGAGGAGTGGAGCGGGAAATGGCGGAGGAGGCAGCGCAGGAAGCTTAGCTCTGAGTCTCGAAACTAAGCTTCTATCAAAATGGAGGCGGCAGCACTGGGAAGGCGGTGGGGCTTGGGGGAGAGGAGGGAAGGGCGGGGAGGAGGGGAGAAAAGGGGGGAGGGGGGGGAAGAGGGGGAAGGGGGGGGGGTGGGGGGAAGAGGGGGGAAGGGGGGGATTGCGTTGCTTGTTACAGCCCAAGCCTGAGGCGTTGTCTGACGTCTTCATGATGCCTGACGTCAGCTGAAGCCTCGTGGACTTGCAGGTGTGTTACCCGTCGTCGGCCATGCCTATTCCCGTCACCTTTCCCCGTCGCCTATCGCCTATATCCGTCGCCAATTCTTGTCGTTTCTCTGGCTACCCACGGTTTTAAACTGCTCGCTTAGTGCACCTTCGATATAGTCGAGGATCTGACTTCCGAACGAGACAGACGGGCCCTGCTTCCCCTTCCGCTGCCCGCCGCCGTTCTCCCCGTCGGCTGCGCGCACGCGCACTCCCCCACGAGCCCTGCGCCGACGGAGCGGACCGAGCTCAATCAGCGGACCGCCTACGCGGAAAGCAGCAGTGCTGCGGAAACAGTTGTTCCTATATCGAAGCGAAGTTGCCTCGAAGGCAGGAACGGCAGTAACGAGCGGTGTCGCTGAAGCAGTCAGCGCTACAGCAGCAACGGGCGCCATTGCTGGTAACACGCTACGCACGGCCAGTCCCGTTGCTGGTCTCATGCACACCACTTGAGCCCCCTAGCACCATGCTGCTGCCATGTGGTTGTACGCGATATGACAAGTGTTCTCGACCACTGCTATTCGACACACCGGCACCTACATTATACGTCTTTTACATTCCTAGGTTTATTTTTACCTAGTCGTTACTCGTAGAAAATGTGTCTATTACGGTATATGGGCAACCAATGACATGTCAGCACCACAACCGAGGGTGTATCCTGTGTGCGACCCCGTTATTTACAAGCCCCTTTATTTACCCACCGTTGCCAAGCATGCCCACCATCATGGTTACAAACTACACGGATGGTGAGGGCAACATGTGGTAACCAGCAGCCGTAACAGCAGTAGCCACGCCAACAGTGGCAGCAGGAGCAGGAGCAGGGGCTGGAGGGACTATGGGTGTGGGGCGAGCAGCCTCCTTGCCAAGCGAAGACGAAAGATGGAAATTCCAGAAAATTGCGCAGCATGACATGAATGCCACACGCGCCTCTAATGGAACAACTCTGTAGAGGGTATGCACAGAGAGAGGGAGGGGAAGGAACGTGGGGAGAGATTGGATGGGGCAAGCAGAAGGAGCTGCAGTGCACGCAACGAAAGAGAAGATGAAGAACGCAAGGGGGGGGACGTGGAGGTGTTGGTGGTGGTGTGGCGTATGGCACCGACAAAACGTGGCACAAGGGGGGGGGGGGGTGTGTGGGTAGGGGGAGGAAATGGATGCAAGGGGGTAATGGGAAGGCGTATGGAGGAAATACGGAGGGCGGGGGAGATGAAGGCTTACGCAAAGTTGAGGCACGTGGCAGGCACCCAGAACTTGTAGCCTGATGGGAGGACGGGGGCAAGAGAACAGGCAAGGAGAAGCATGGGCCAGGGTTATATAGGGTTGCGTGGAGAAGCAGCTGTCTTGCTTGAAGGGAGCCCGTACAGGCGAAGGGAGAGAGGGAAATAGCGAGTGGTCCATGAGGCACGCTGTCACCACGGAGGGATGGGACGAAAGGATCTCTCATGTGAGGCGGATAAGCTCTTACCCTGTACCAGCGAGGGGAAGAAGTCTCTCCTGTACTTGTCTGGAATGTCCCTTGCCTTGCCCATCCACGCCATGTTCCACGCAAACACCACCAGCAGCACAGTCGGCCCCACCACCACCTGATTCGCGAGCACCTGGTGTCATGGGAGAGGGAAACAGGGGGAGTAGGAGGAAGGGGCGGGGGGGAGGAGGAGAGTCTTCGCCTTTTCAATCCATGCGACCACCAGCAGCACACTCGGCCCCACCACCACCTGATTCGCTAGCAATGGCAAGGCGGGGGGGGGGGGGGGGGGAGGGGAGTAGAAGAGATGGGACAAAGACGGGGCAAGGTTGAACCTGAGACGCCTCAACACGAGTGCAGCATCACTGTCACCCAAAGGGGGACGAAGGGGGGGGGGGAGAGAAGGCGGAGGTGGAGAGCGAGAGGGATACGCTCCTTTGTGAGACGTTTGAGAGGGGTTTTCACCGGCCTTTGGGAGGAGCCGAGCACCACGTGATGCCATGCCAGGTGGCGAGGACAGGTTGCCCTTGCCTCATACTGCCGTACGACGAGCACCACGTGATGCCATGAGGACCAACTCATATTGGTGGCACAGCAAGGCAAGTGCGGCTCCCACGGCTGGTACCAAAGGTGGCAATGATGAGCACAAGAAGCGGACTGCAGCAACGCACATTCAGGACCCGCATTGAGAGCTAGGTTGGCAAGGGCTGGGGCAGGTGGGAGTGGGCCGTCGAGCCACCGAACCAGAGGTAGCAGGCCAGGAAGCCAGGAGACACGCAGAGGGCTAACTTTTTTAGTTGACTCAAAAGTCAGAGTTAGCAGGCCAGGAAGCCAGGGCACACGGCTTGTAAGTGTAAATTATTCTGGAAACTTTCAGAGCCCACCTTGAGAGAAAAGCTGGCGAGGGTTGGTCTAGGCAGCAGGCAATCCAGCGACTGGTACGGAACCAAGCATGGCAGTCCGGGGCGTAGAGCACACGTCGCAACAACATATGGAGCTAATTCTACCGAGCAGAGCACCCACCGTGAGAGCAAAGTTCGCAAGGGTTGGAGCAGGCGGCAGTTAGTCCAGCAACCCGTACCATGCATGGCCGCCCACGCCGTCGAGCAAGCTGGCGAGAGTTGATCCGTGGGACAACGTGTGGAGTGTTGTCCATGTAGATGGCCCTACAGGATACAACAACCTCGGAGACCCGCTTTGAGAGAAACGCTGGCGAGGGTTGGTTGGCACAGGCAGCAGCATGGGTGGAGGCACTGGCGGTAGCAGGCGTGGCAGCCCGGGGTGCAGAGCAGGAAGCCATCAGACGCCATGCGGAGAGGCTTGCTTGCCATGTGGATGGTCCTCCCAAGCCCTCTCAGCAGCACACACCTTGAGGGAGAAATTGGTGAGCGTGGGAGCAGGCAGCAGGCGGTCCAGCCACTGGTACCAGGCATGGCAGCCGGGGCCATAGAGCAGGAAGCCATAGGACGCCATGCGCAGGCCTCGGATAAAGTCGTGCTGCCATAAGTGCTTCTCTGCCGCTGCTTCCAGCCGACTGGGCGCAGCCCGCGTGCGCTGGTACCGCTCCACCAGCTGTGCCAAGGTGTCGCCTGTCAGGGCCAGCCCGCTCGCCGTCACTGCTGCCTTGAGGGGGAAGCGCTGTGCAGGGGCCAGGGGGAAAGAGGAGAGGCGAGAGGGGGAAAGCGGGCTCCATTTCTTGCGCCTTGGCCGCCTGTGCTGGGCGTGCTCCACCAGCTGCTCCACCAGCTGCTCCACGGCGAAGCCTATCAGGGATGGCCCGCTCGCTGCTACGGCTGCTGCTGCCTTCAACAGGACGCGTTGACGTGGGTGCGGGAAGGGGAAAGGTGGAAGGGGGATGCGCGATGTGAGGGCAGGGGCATGTGGTTTTAGGGGGGGTATTGAGCGGTGGCGAGGAGGAGGGGGACGAGAGGACAGTGCAGGGGGATGGAGGGATAATAGCGTCGCCTGTGAGGGCCACAACTCCGCACTGGAAACCAAGTGGGAGCTGGAAAGTGGCCCGGAGCGGCGAAGGGATATTGGGCGTGGGCAGGTGCGAGAATTAACTATCGGGAAGGGGCATTGGGGATTGGGAGAATCTGTGGTTCTAAAAGCAGGCGAATGGAATGAAGATGCAAAAATGAGCAAACTGCTCAGTCGACGGGTTCGAGAGCGGAATTCCAAGTGGCCTGGTTGGTGGAAAAACACGGTGATGAACGCAGCGGCGATGCAATGCAGCCAGCCAGCCAGCACGCACCTCTCTGCCACCATACTCCGTTGCCTTGCCACCATGCTCCGTTGCCTTGCCACCAAGCCACCTACCCACCCACCTCCAACAGCGGTCGGGATTGGGCCTTCTTCCACGACGCCTCATCCAACGGCTGAGCTGCGTCCAGTGTGCTGCGGGGCAAACAAGCGGCAAGCGGGGGGTTGAGCAGGCTGGTGCGGCGAGATGAGGCAACGAGAAGAGGCAGACTAGAGGTGAAGGGTGGAAGAGTGGACGATTGGAAGAGCGGAAGAGTGGAAGAGTGGTAGGGAGAAGTTTCAGATTAAGCCATCAGCCACATGAGCCATCAACGCAATGGTCCCCCTCGCCCTGTTCCCTATCACCATATGTCGAACGTTCCCTCGCGCTTAGGTACGGGCCGATCCTTGAATGGCTCCCAGGCAGGAGCCGAACCTCGGGTGCCTTTACCGCATGGTCCGGACTGAACCGACTCACCTGGCTCGGAGGCGGTGCCTGCCGTGCTGCCACGTGGCAGTCAGCGAGGAGAGCAGCGAGAGCGATAGGCCGTGCGAGAGCGAGCAGGCGAGCGCTGCTGGCGGGCGACAGCGGAGAGCGCCTGAGAGAGGGCTCGCAGCGTTGACTTGGATCGCTCCGTCGAAGGGGTTGAACGGCACACCGCTGGAGGCAGCCATTCTCGACACCGGGTTTGTGACTTTCGACGCGGCTGTCTGCGTGCGGCGCCTTATGCGGAGTTTTGAGACGCCTCAAAAGACGACCTTTATACCACTGTCTGCGTGCGCCTTATGGGGTGTCTTGAGCCGTCTCAAACCACGGCTTTTAAACCACTGTCTGCGCGCAAATAAAGTGATCGCTCTGGGGGACTAGGAGGTCGCTCGGTTGGCTGCAGGCGGTGTAAGCAAGCCTCCTAAACACTCTCAGTCGCCGCTGTTGGCTGGCCAGCTTGAGCGTAATGAAGCGGCGCACTCCTCCGCCTCTCAGGATCTTTCAAAGTTAGGCTGACGCAAAAAGAGGCGGAGGAGTTTAGGGAGGAGGTGCGGCAGAGACGACACGGCTGCGCGCGGACGCAGAGGCTCGGGCTGGAGCATCGCCACTCGCCGCCACTCCCCGCCACTCACGTCGGCAGATGTTACTGATGCTGATGCCCCTACCATTTCCAGCAGCGTTGTTCTTCCCTTGGTGTACAATAGCAGGCGAGTTTGTACTGTACAGTATACACGGCCCGCGCAAGCCGCGCTGGTCCCGCAGCACGGCACAAGTGTGGAATCTGTGAAGCTGTCGTTACTCTCTGGCTGCTATGGTCGGTCGACGACTGGAGAAAATGACTGGCGAATGCTGATGCTGTGGCACTGCTGCTGCTGTGCTTGGCGCTAGCGATACGCTGTTTTCCTGCGCGCTCGTTTTCCTTGTAAAGTGAACGGCCGTAACACTGGTCAAGATCCCAAGAAAGTTGGTAACAAAAAAACCGCGATATTGAAGTAATGACGCGAGCGAACATCCTTTAACACATGTTAAACGAAAGCTTCAAACGCTGCAAGTCATACTTCACACTTGTCCGTTCACTATATCCTGATTCCTTAGGGTGTGCTCCTAAGAGCTCTTATCAGATGAACCTCTTCTCCGACTTGAGGTGCACCGTTCTGAACCGCACTACATCAATTCGCCAGAACCGCAATGTTCAGTAACACGCGCATCTGATAAGAGACATGGCTGATGGTAAAATGTGTTGGGCTGAGAAAAAGCCCTTAGGATCTTTCCAGAGACTAAGTCCCAGTTGAAAAAAGGAGACTTGAGTAGTGCAGCGGAAGTTGAGTAGTTGAACCCTTGTACTAGTATATGAGAACAAGTGATTGATTAAAAGAACAACACTTAAGTCCTTGAGATATTTCCAACACTCCCCTTCGTTTCTGGAGTGCTGACGTGTTCAGATCCGGCGACGTTTGTCTGCCCGGTCAGCAGCATGCAGTAATCGAACTTTCCCTTTGTCAGTTTCTTCGTCAGGTAGTCTGCGGCCATTTCTGTCGTAGGGCAGTAACTGAGTTGAAGTCTCCCTTTCGCGATTTCATCCTTGACGAAGAAGTATCGCAGGGCGATGTGCTTGGTTCGGTTGGCGAAGCCATCCTTGTTCGCGATCTTGATCGCAAATTGGTTGTCGCAGAGAAGTGAGGAGACGGGAAGGGTCGCAATCTTTGCTTCCTCAATTTACTCTCGCAGGTAAAGTCCTTCTTTGGTCGCAGTGCAGAGGGCGATATATTCTGCTTCAGCCGAAGATAGCGCGATTAGTTCCTGTTTGCTCGACTGCCAGGAGATAGTCCCGATGGGCTCTAGTCGGTAGATGTAGCCCGTCCTCGAGCGTCGGTTTTCCCTGTCTCCTGCGTGGTCGGCGTCGACGTATCTGAGTAGTTGTACGGACGATGTTGTTTCTTTACTGTAGGTAAATCCGGTCGTCGGCGTAGAGACGAAGTAGAGTAGTGCTCGATAAAGTTCCTCGAGATCTTCTTGTTCCGGCTGCTTCAGATGCGTCGCCAGTTGACTCGCGCTGTAGGATAGGTCAGGTCGGCAGGTTACTGCTGATACTCCTGAATTTGTTTCGCGGGGATTTTTGCAGAGGTATTGTTGTTGTTCCCGTAGCGGTAGGGAGTCGTGACTGTAGTCGGCGTTAGTCCGAATTTCTTCGCGACAACGCCTGCGTACTTTCCAGCGTGTAGATAGAACGCCGAGTTGTCTTCGACGACGTTTAGACCTAGGTACTAGGTCACGGTGTCAGACACTGTGAGTGTCAAGTCACTTCTCAGCTCCCCTTCGAACCAGATGGTGATGTCGGTAGTGGAGCCGATGTAGAGCAGGTCGTCGACGTAGACGATGAGTATGATAAATTCATTTTCTTTCTGTAGTCGGTACATGCCTTGGTCGTGCGGCAGCTGTAGGAATCCAATTCTGACGAGGCGACCGTGAAGGTGTTGCTGCCAAAGCCGCGGGGCTTGCTTGATCCCGTAAAGGGATTTTATCAGCTGGCACACTTTTGTGGGGTCGTCGATGAGTTCGTGGGGCTGCTCGACGAAGATCTCGGCATCCACAGGTGCGTACAGGAAGGCATTTGCGATGTCGATTTGGCGCAGTGGTAGTTTCTTCGTGGCCGCGACGGCGAGTAGAATGCGCAAGGAGGTGTGACGGGAGACTGGGGCGAATGTTCCTGTGTAGTCAGTTCCGTATCGTTGATCGAATCCTCGTACGACCCAGCGAGCTTTGAATCGTTCGATGGAGCCGTCCGTATTGGTCTTGATGCGGTATACCCATTTTCCCGAGAGAACGTTCTTCCCGTTGATGTTCGTTGCAGGTACCAGCTTCCATGTATTTCGGTCTTGCAGAGCTTTCAGTTCTTTTTCCATTGCCTCCTTCCATTTCGCCTTGTGTTCCCCCCCCAAAGCCTGCGACAGAGTCGTTGGCTCGCGCGGAGATGGCGGCGGCGGATGCTGGACGGAGACCCATAAGCCGAGTATTTGCAGTCCCGTGGGTGTGTGTCGAGGGGAATTTTCATTCCCCGAATAGGCTGCTTCGTCACCATCTTCTGGATCAGGTAAGAAGTTCGGGCCGATGCGTTCTGAGACATTTGTGTCGACCGGGTGAGGTGTAACGTAACCTTGGTCAGCGAAGTGGTAAAGGGTGTCGAGGTTGTTGCTATCGAGGGGATTGTCTTCGTCGAGTGGTACAGGCACGGAACAGTAAGGGAGTGGTCCGGCAGCTTCCGAAGCTCCAGGTACGTCTTCTTCTGTTGCGTCAGCCTCGGCAGCACGGTCGGCGAAGGGCGAAGGCCCGCGAAGCCGTCGGTGGGGTCGTCTGTGTTGGCGACGTTGTCTAGGTAATGCTGCAGTGTCAGTTGTTCGTAGAAGATCACATCACGTGATGCCACGGTGTTTTTGTCTTGTATGTCGAGGAGTTTCCATGCTTGGAAATGTTTGGCGATGCCGAGGTGTAGTCCCCACCTTGCTCGTTGAGTGACATGTCCTGCTCGGGCTGTGTGGGGTCTGTACTGTACCATGCAGTCGAAAACCCGAAGTAATTTTGTGCTGCCCCTTTTTCGTGTCCACAGCAGGTGCGGTGATGCGTTGTTGGGAAGCGAGGACGAGGATAACAAATTGTGCAGGTGGACTGCATGGGTCATCGCGTCTGGCCACAGTGCGTTGGGCAGTCTCATCCCTAGGAGCAGCTTCCGCATCGTTGTCTGCAAGGTCCGGTTCATTCTTTCTGCGACCCCCTGCTGCTGGTGAGCGTAGGGCAGAGACACCAGTCGTCTGATTCCTCTTTCCGCCAAGTAGTTCCTGAAGCATTGTGACTGGTATTCGAGTGCGCCGTCTGACTGGAAGCTCTTGAGCTTCGTTCCTGATTCTCGTTCGGCAATGGGTAGCCATGTCGTGAAGGCTTCGAATGCTTGATCGCGTGTCTTGAGGTTGTAGTGCCAGACATATCTTGTTGCTGCATCGATGAACGTGATAACATAGTTGAAGTCGGCTTCAGTATCGTCTCGAGGCATGTTTAAGATGTCGCTGTAAACTTTTTCCATCGGTGCGTATGCTGGTGCACTTGGATTGTGATGTGATGGAAAAGGTTGGTGGGGAAGATCTGCTTCGGGGCACGTGAAGCACCGTGCGCGAGGTCGTCGAAGTTGTTGGCCGCTCGTTGTAAGAAGAGCGTTTTGTTCTAACACTTCGGCTTGGATGGTTTGTAGTACCGTGCTGTTTGCAGGATGCCCAAGGCATTGGTGCCAGATGTCGTCGGAGGCGCGATGGCCGGGCGAGCGTTGGTACATGTCGGTGGTGGAGAAGAACGCGACGACCGTGGCGGGACTTCGGCAGACTTCTCGTGTGATGGGCATAAGTTGATCTGCTTCGGTTGGTGGTCCTCGGATTGCTGGTGATGGTACTCGGCTGGGTCTTGCTGCTGCTACTGCAGGTGATGCTTGGGAAGGGACGCTTGCTGGCACTTGTCTTTCTTGTCTGATAACTGCTAACGCTTGTGTTCTCTCTGCCGTAGGTATGGTGTTGGAGTACCAGAATCCATGTGGGGTGAAGTCGGGGTCAAGGTCCGGCGGGTGCGTCTAGGCGGCGAACGACACGATGCCATTGCTGTCGGCGGTACCGCGGTCGGGGACGAAATCCAACACAAAGACGCCTGACTTCAGGAGAGCGCGACCGATGAAGAGACCGCCCTTCCTGTGGTAAAGGCGAAATTCGTTGGAGTTCGAGTCGCACTCCAGGTGAATCCCTTTTGCCATTAACTGACTGACGCTGAGTAAATTGTATCCCAAATTGTCGACGATGAGAACTTTGTTGAGTTGCAGTATAACGTTTGTCTCCATGGACTGTAACTGAACCACTCCTTGTCTGTTTGTTTTCAGGTTCTCGTTGTTGGCGACGGTGTTGATGACATCTCGGTTGAGACGTCGTTCTCGTTGCACAAATCGCCCGGAGGAACACATGTGTTGGCCGCAACAGCTGTCCAAGAACCAAGTGTTTCGCCCGGTGGGTTCGGCGTTGGCAACTTCAGCGTATGTTGGGTTGACCTGAAGTCCTTGTGAGTGTGGTGGTCACAGTTCTTCTTCGTCTGGAGCATAAGTGGGCGGTGATCCGGGTGCGCAGTTGTCGATGTGTACCATGCAATTGATGATGTTTGGTGTACCTTGTGCAAATGTGGAGGGCTTTCTTGAGTGGAAGCGACTTGTGGGTCTACTGGACGATAAGCTCGTGGGCGTGTGCAGTTGACTTTGGAGTGTCGGGATGTTTGGCAGTTGTCGCAGAACGGCGGCACAATGGTGAGTCCTCTGTTGTCGCGTTGATCTTGTTTGCCGCGTCGGTTGTAGTTGTTGTCATTCCTTCGTTGAGTGTAGAAGACTAATGGTTGCTGTTTCCTTGGTTGCCTTTCTTCGAACAGGTCCATCTGTTGTTCAGTATGGAGCTTGGCGCATAGGTGCATCTCCGAGATTCGTCCGTGGGCGCGAAGGAGCGAGCGGGTGGTTCTCCATTCTTGCCCGAGCCCAGCGAGGACAAGCGTCACGGAGCTTTCTTCAGTGATTGTTCCTCCGCACCGAAGCAGGCGGTCGCGGAGTGTCTGGCATCGACTCATATACTGCATCGCCTTTTCCCCGGTCTTCATCTGTATTGTTGTCAGCTGCTGCATGAGTCTGCTTTGTGTCACGCTGTCGCTTGCTTGATAGAGACACTTGAGATGATGCCACGCGAGTTCCGCGGAATTTCCATAGCTCCGATACGTTCTGATGCTTTGCTGTTCTTGTGGTGACAGGTTCCGCAG